TCTAAAGGTGAGTGGTACAGGTGTACCACTATACGCCTTATTGGTGGGTAAGTTCTCCATTCTTTCGGAGACTATAAATCCTACCTATCCGCGTCACACAGATGACGCCGCCTCCCTCTTTCTCTCATGCTTGTTTGAATGCGGGGCCTCTTTCTTTTCTCCAGTTTTTCCTTCCTCATACCGGCCGGATGTTGAATGAATCATGTGTGATTGATTAAGCCAACTTGGGACACTCTTTCTCTTCGATTAGGAAAGCCTAGAATTTGCCCTTACACTAAACCCATTCGAGAAGATAATCTAACATCCCTAATCGAGAGTTTTCTTAGATCAAGGTCTAAAGATGTAATTAACTACGGGGGCTTGCGCCCGTAGGAAACCGATCCCCACAATCAAATAAACCCTATTCGAGCCGATGTATCGAATAGGGAAAATCTCGTGAATTTTGGGTTATATATATTATTATCCATCGAGGTTGGTAGGTGAAAGCCGATATCCTTCATGGCTAATCGTATCTATAACTCCATCTGCTCTTCCATCGGCCTGCTTGTGTCGATTGTAAAGGCCTACGACCATTTTATCCTACGGGACAGTGTGATCGTACTCTTTGCATTCGAACCACATGAGCAGAATCTTTTCGGAGACCCACAACCATCTTATTTCCAGTGAGAAAAGCAATATGATATTATCAGACGAAGGTGGATAAAGTAATTCAAGGACCTAGAAAACTAGAGACAGTAATGGAGATGTTTAGGAAATTAGAGTTTGGCATCAATTAAGCTTGAATAAATTATAGTGATGGTTGAAGCCTGAAGAGGAACATGGCAAGAAGTAACTCGTTTTATTTTTGCCTGGTACTCCTGAATAGATTTTTCATCCTATTGAAAAGAAAATAGGTCAAAGGAGAAAATGAATACCCGAGAGATGTTCTCCAAAATCTAAGAGAGAATTATTTAGGGAAAGGGGACTGATTTGAGAGGGAATTAGGGGGAGAAAATGAATGCCGGAGAGATGTACTCCTGCAATATGATATCTTGCCCTAAATAATTCCCTCTCAATCATAATTAAGATTTTCCTAAATAATCTCCCCTCGATTCCTCCTCCCTTTCCCTAAATAATTTTCTCTTATATTTTGAATTCAAATTAAATCACTTTCCCTAAATAATTCCCTTTCAATTGTACTTAAAATTTTCATAAACAATCCCCCTTTGATTAAGAACCTTCCTAAACAGTTCCCTCTTTATTAGGATATATTCTAATTTTCTCTCAATCAAATCGGCAGGTCCATCACAAAGCCTCCTCATTCTCCTCCAATAGAGCATCAAATCAACATCTTTACAAGGCTTCTCCTTTCATATTTTTCTCCTTTCTTAACCCATAATATGCTCCTCCTATTTATAAATGAGAATGGGAGATCCACTTTGCATAATAGGAAAACATAAGAAAAGCCCTCCCCAAGTAATTCATTTATTTAAGTTTTTTATATTAAAAAAAAAAGTTATTCGCTTATTTGGATTTTTTTGCTCAGGTCATCCGAATTCATAGGTTGACAGGGTTTCATTTTATCTATGATAATAAACTATCACTTTCCCTAAAACTCATTTTTTAGAGTCTAGGGCTCGACGAGGTGTCTTCAACATCAAAAAAATCATAAGAGATAACCTAAGGGGATTTCCCATTTTTGTGACATTTTGCATGATGAAGGGGGTCGTTGGTATGAATATCAGTGCTGCTATACTCTAGGGAGTCAATGTGCCTATTTTCAGCCTGAAAGTTAAGTGATTGAGACAAGCCCGAACTCACCTTTGAATGGTGAAGACAAGAAGGATGATCAACAACCATGTTCATGAACGTCTTTGTATTTGTGCTTTATAGGTGATAATAAGCTCCAAGAAGGGAGAGACTGTGACTAAAATAGGATGGGAATATATGAACATCTTGGATACATAAAGACGTCATGATGTCAAATATATAAATTTAATAAAAAAGTTATGGCATTAATAATGGGTGCCCGTAAGAATTAATATCCAACCATAGACTTCTGCTGATTCAAGAAAACATCAACATATACTTTGTGCTATAATCGCACACTATGGAGACAAGGAAGAGGACCATTCAAACAATTCAAAACCTGCAAAAAGGGTTAGCTCCTCAATAAATACAGCATATGTGCAAGGATTTCAATAACTGGACAGATAAATACCTGAGAACCTGAACCTAAATATGGATCACTTCCCCATAAACCATCCACCAGCTTGGTATACAACTGTTCTTTGGGAGTTGGTGCAGGTGCACCATAGTATGAAAACTCAACAACATCCACATCACACCATATACCCCCTGGCCCCTATAAACAAGATAAATGAGAAGATGAATTGCCATAGTTGGGGAAAAAAAAAAGAAAACATAGGAACATATTTAGGCTTCGTTTGGGACGGCTTTTTTACTGCTTCTTAAAGCAACTTTCTAGTAGAAAAATCTTAAATTTTGTACTAAAAAGCTACTTTAAGAAGAAGTAAAAAAGCCGTCCCAAACAAAGCATTAGTCATAATTATGGACTCCTCCATAATTAAGCAGAAACATCAGATATTGAGATTCTACACGATGAAACATATGGAAAAAACATACAAACTAATCACTAAGAAAATTAAACATGAGAAATCTACTTGATAGGGACAAAGTTTTAGATGATCAATACCTCTAGGACAGATGGCAAACATTGGACCTTGTTAAGCCATTTATGGTGAACTTTACGAGCAACAAAAACTAGAATTGCCGGTATATTAGTTAGCATGCCATGTCGAATACGGAAGCCTACTGCTGTGCCAAGACTAAATCTACGCAAGATTTTACTATGAAATGCCCTGATAGTCATCAAATCCAGCAATGTTGTTGCTTGTTGCCCCTTTGGTAGGCGCCCGAGATTACCCGGAAGCACTCCTTTCTGAAGGTTCCCAAAATAGTTAGCTCGGCCTTCAGCTGAATCATGCATATGGGTAGATGTAGGCCATGAGAAGTATGCAGCATTACTTTCAGAGTGTTGGCCTCCTGATGCATACGGCTGGAGCACAGAAGGGTTACAGGAAGGCAGGTTTGGGTGACAGCACGTATTGTTTTCCACATCCAAGGTAGACTCCTCTGATTGGGCTGATCCTGAAAAGAGACCTTGAATGTCTAAAGGCCTTTTCATGTTAGTTAATATCGATGTCTAAAGACCTTTTCATATTAGTTAATATCTATGATAATATCAAGCCCTTCTGAACCCTTTTGATGATTAGCCAATGATTCGACGGAGAAGAAACCTGCAACCAATAATTTGCCACACATTGATGTAAAATTAAGAGATCCTAATAGCATAAAGAAACATACTTTATGAATGAAAATAAACATGAAGACTAGGATAAAATGAAAATTTGCATATAATAATAGGATCCAATTATAGTAAAGCCTAAAAGCAAATTAGGACATTTCACCAATGCATTCCTCCCATGAAGATTAAAAACATATATGTGTAGCTGACCTTTAAAAAACATATTTGATTATCAAACTTTTACTATTTGAAGATAGAAGTGCCCAATCTAGCAGTCTAGCGATCAGCAAGATAAATAACAAGAGAGAGAAATATGTTATAGTGCTTTATTTATTTGCCTATCTATAAAAATGGAATAGCATGGGTAGATTCCACAGTTACCACACAGAGTAAACACAAGAAATCATACTTACCCACCCCTCAATGCTTCAAGAAAATGAACAAGAATTTTATCATATTACCTGGGGTGTAAGTAAATAGAGAAAAAATAATAAATTAAGAGATTTGAAAAAATGCAACATGGAAAATTGACTGATGGACCTCTCTACGAAGAAAGAAATCAATAAACAACAACAACATCAAGCATTTGTCCCACTATATGGGGTCGGCTATATGAATCTTTTTTTTCCATTATGTCCTGTTAAAAGTCAAATTCTCGTTTAAATCTAATAAAGAAATATCATTTTGTTAGACCGGTCCACTGGACCGGTCCAGCCGGTCCAGGAGGGACCGGTTCGGGGGCGATATCGCGAAACAGGCGGAGACTCCGCCAGAACGAGCGGCCCGACCGCTCATATAGAGCATTTTAGGAAGGATTTTTGGGGGGTTTCAGAGAGAAATTTGAATGTAGTGACTGTTTAGGGAATTCCTTTTGATTTGTATGCATTAAATAGATGTTTTTCCTAGGGTTTGGGCATCTTGAATTTGGCTGAAATTTGAGATCTCGTAGATTTAGGTTTTCTTTGGGCTCTAGCGGCGTCTAGAGATTTGGGAGAGATCGATCCTCCTCTCGAATTGAGGATCAATTGTATCTTTGCTATTTTCCTTGCAACTATTAGTAAAATATAAGTCTTTTCTCTGATTTTTCTGCAGTTTTTCCCCGCTTTCCTACTGTTTTTGGCTGTTTTTCTACTGTGGACAGCAGTTTTACATTGGATCTACTTGGTTTTGGTGAGAAACACTTGGAAATCCAAGTGTTTCCTATCACATTTCTAATATTTTCTAACCAAGTCTTTTTAAGTCTACCTCTACCTTTCCTAACATAAGTCAAATCTAATATCTCTACTTTCCTAGCCGTGTCATCAGAAGGCGGTCGTTTTATGTGACCAAACCATCTAGGGCGACTCTCTCTAATCTTATCAAAACTAACTTAAAAAAATAGAGAGAGATAGGATTAATTTGTGGACCATCTATAGTACCCCAAAAGCACGTTTCTTTGTAAACCTAGCAATAGTAAAAGCAAATGCATGTTTAATCATTCAATTTGACATAGTAGAACAAATCCAGTCATATCCTTCAATGAAATGCTCCAAAATAAAAATAACAGACCAAAAAAAAAAAACAGCCTACAGATTTACAACATGGAAAGTCATTAAATACTATGCCATATGTACAACTTAGAGGGTTTTCTTTTCGTTATTATAGATCTTCTATGTAATATGGTAATATTATAAGATGCTAACTATTAAGTTTGCTAACATCATCCATAACAATAACTTAAATAACATTTAAGTCACATTTTTCTCTAACATCTACTTGTTACCCAAACAAAACATCTCACAAAAAAGGCTGAACCGAACACAACATTTGACAGATAAGGTTCAAATTAAAATAGGAAAATTTACATACATACCACTTTATACCATCTTATTTACACATCTAACACTCAAAAATTTAATATTACATACATACCACCCTATATTATTTTAATATAAAACATGTCACTCATATTTTCTTACTATCACTCATATTTGATATGAAAATGAACTATGAGTGGTATGTATGTAATATTTTAATTTTAAGTGTTAAATATGTAAATAGACTAGTATATGTTGGTATGTAAACAACCTCGTGTAATACCGGAGAATAGATCATTAAAAACAAACCATAAGTTTATTCCTAAAGAGATTGCATTGACAACTGAAATGCACTGTGAACAAAATAGTGTCTATTATAACTAGGTATGCATGCTTCATTGAAGATCAATAAAAGCATAAAACAGGTGCGAACCGTTCCCCTATAAGAAAACTAGTGGTTCCTGCCCTTTCCTTGATCTAGCTGAAATTTGCAAGTTTACGGAGCAAAATAAAAAAAAAAACCAGATCAGATATCCATCCAACGAAATTCTTTCATGGAAAGCGGAAGAACCCAAGTAAAAAAACATCCTTTATGCCTGAAACACGCAAGCAGTTGTTCTAGAATATAAGGGAAAAATCACTTCTTTGCCCTCTTTAAATTATATCGGTAGTAGAAATTTCCAGCCTTCACAGGCTCAAAACTATCCAAAGGAAGAAAATGATGGAATCGAGGAGGCGCCTCACCTTGGTGTACAGGCCAAATGACTACTGGGCGCCGAGCAGCGAGGGTGGAGCCTTTACGAGATCATCAAATGCCAAAGAGGCTTCAGAAGAGCCGCCCTTCAGGATTACTGTAGTGGAATCTCGCTATGCGGTAGCAATTGATGATCTCGCAAGCTGTCATTAGCTCAGTAAAGGGGAAAATGAAGGAGTGGTGGAGAGCATGAGTAGGGGTTAAGCACTATAAAGCCAGGTTCAGAGGTTTGATAAAGACTAGGCCTTCATTTGTTGGGAACGATAATGAGGCCTGAGGAAATCACTGTGGAAAAGCAAATAGAATAATTTGTGCATAGATGCTATCAGCAGAACGGCTCTTTTTTTTTTTTAACCAATAAATCGCAGGGTTTTATGTGTAAATTTATAAATATATTCTTATTTAATTATGCGACTCTTATAGAATAACATATAAAGAATCTCAAGAACTAAGAATGCATATCCCCAAGTAATAACGATAATTTTTTTTTTCGATTTTAGCTCTGGGAGGACGCATCTCTGCGTCAGGTGGGAGGACGCAATAAAAATTCTAAATCGTGAGGCTTGGGAAAATATTTTATGATTATATTTTAATAAAAAATTTGTTTGGATAACTTTTAATTTTTTATTAATTCATCTTGATTTATTAGTTTGAAGTTTTGATTATCGATCAAGAGGTTTTAAATTTATTTTAATTGATTTAAATATCTAAAAAAATTAAAAAGAATTAATTTATTAAATTATATTTCTCAATGATTTAAAATTTTACAAATATATCCTGATAAAATTTTTAATTTGTTCAGCTTATTTCCTAAAAAATCTTGTAAGCCTATGATTAAAAAAATAGAAAATGTTATTTTAATTGTAAACTAATTTGAAAAAGCGAATAGCTATTTATTTGAGTATTAAGGAATTTTGAAATTTTTGGCATTTGAATGTTTGTGTCTCAAATGTAAAATATTTTAATAGTATGTTTATTAATTATCCTCTAGTTTATTTTTAGTATATTTAAAATTTTTTATTTTTAAATGAATTTTAAATATAAAGCTTAGATTAAAGTGATGCTAGTTGGAGTCATTTGATTGATATTTTTACTTTAACTGAAATCATTTCGCTGCTTGTAGAAATAAGATATTAGTGTAACTTGAAAACATTTAATTATCTCATCTTTCAAGATAATGATGATTATGATTTAACAATATTAGTGTAGATTATAGTGTAATAAAAAATGAAGTTAACTCTTAATTAAAAAAAATAGATTATAGTATAATAATCAGATCAAATAGGTCCGGTTGTTGAAATCTAATAAAATTAGAATTTGACAAAACGATTGAATTAATGTCGCTTTCGATTGAATTAATGTCGAAATAAAAGCGAGGCTTGATTCTAATACTTTTTGAAAAAAAAAATTAAAGATCAAAAGATAATCAAAAAAGAAAATGAGGCCTTTTCAATGTTCAGTTGACATATTCAATTGAAGATAATTCAAAGAAAAGTTTCAATACCTTTCAATTTAGTAATTGATCGTAAGCTTCAAAGAAATTTCAATGCCAAATAGGTTTGGAAAAAAATCATAGATGGTGGTCCTAAGATTGCAAAGCAAATAGTGCTCTTAGGGGATTTGAAATCAAGATTCAGTTGACTAACTCTATCATTCTATACTATCCCTCTATTAATAATAACACATTTTCATTTAGCGTTATGGAAAAAATTCAAAATTTTTAAATATTTGTTTAGGTTCAATTTTTATCTTGTCAAAGAAACTCGAAGCTATGATCTTGTATAAACAAAGCATTCTCTCTTTACAAATGACAATATTTCCTTCACCGAGACGATCGAACGGATCTACATGTGAAGTTGTGAGTAACTCCCATGATTTTCAGTCTCTGTGGTAGGGCAAATTATTACGTCCGGATTTAATTATCTCAAATAGTGCTCTTAGGGGATTTGAAATCGCAAGAACGGACGTTTGTAATACACTGCTCATGCTTCCGAAGACTTTTTTATGTTCCGCTCAAAATTAACCAAACAATCAAATTTGAGAAATGCATGAAATTACTTTACTTCACCCTCCTAATTCAGCATACCAAACAGCCCCTTTAGCGTTATGGAAAAAATTCAAAATTTTTAAATATTTGTTTAGGTTCAATTTTTATCTTGTCAAAGAAACTCGAAGCTATGATCTTGTATAAACAAAGCATTCTCTCTTTACAAATGACAATATTTCCTTCACCGAGACGATCGAACGGACCTACATGTGAAGTTGTGAGTAACTCCCATGATTTTCAGTCTCTGTGGTAGGGCAAATTATTGCGTCCGGTGTCCGGATTTGTCCGGACACCAATCCGGTGTCGCCACGTCACCAAAATGCACTGGGACCCAGTGTATTTGGGTGACGTGGCGTCACCGGATTGGATGTCCAAACATCCGGTGACCGGACGCAATAATTCGCCCTGTGGTAGAGCTCCGGTTCTCTTCTTTAGCTGTCTCCATTCAGAGGGATTAGAATCCAATGAAAAAATAAATTACCTCATGTTTAAGCTCCAATTTTCTCTTAAATAAGAAGCTAATTATTATCAATTTTTAAGTTAGCTCATATAAGAGATGTTGATGCAGTAGTGATGATATTCCAATTCATTTGAGTTTGACTTTTAGCTTGATATCAATACTTAATGTTAATATTGATGATTCATACATAGCATTGAAGCCATCGAAATCATTTGAGAAGTTTTATAGATGAGACAAATTTTATATCATTTCATTCTTTAAGAGAAATAATATCATTCATTGGAAACTAATTCTAAGAGTTCGGAGATTTATTGTGTATGGACATGATACTAATTTGATGGTTATATAGGTGGCTTTGGAATATATATTTCCTCTTGTATTAATATACAAGCTTAACCAATGTTTGCAATATTAGAAGTAATGAATTATCCATCTTCATATAAGAATGATTTAGATTTATGAAAACTTCCCCTGTAGGAGACTAAGGCTTTGTTTGGAACGACTTTCTTACAGCTTCTGAAAGCAACTTTCTAGTACAAAATTTTAATTTTTGTACTAAAAAGCTACTTTAAGAAACATGAAGAAAGCAATCCCAAACAAAGCCTAAGCCCTTTGTATATTTTTGAGAAGTACTTGAAATCTTTTAAGTCTTACTAAAAGATATTGCCTCCTATTAGAACATAATGATCTTAATTTCTTAATTGACAAGAACCTTCTAAGACTTACTCTTTCAAGTTAAAAAATATAAATAAATACTTATGTTATGATTATCTTTATAGTATTTTTTTGATATTTATGTATTTTAAAATGTTATATATATATATATATAAAGGGGGATACATAATTATGATGAGAATATTAAATAAATAATTAGATAAAAATAGAAAAATTATTTTTAATACATATTTAATTAAAAAATTTAGGAAAAAGGTTTAATAAATTGATAATACAATAAGAATTTACTTTTTATTCATAAAATATTAGAGATTGTTTATCAGCCCAATTTGTTTAAAAAAAAATAAAGGTTCGAAATACCGGTGGATGATGGGAGCAGGGGCGGATCCAGCTTCTTTTTTTAGGGTGGGCAAAAAAAATTTTTTTTGTGGGGGATGGGCAAAAATGCTTAGGATTGATTAAATGAGGGCAAAAAAATTTTTTGAGAGGGGACAAAATACCCAAAATACTCAAAATATTTCAAAACATCTCACTAAAATTAAAAAAAAAAAAATTTTGAGGGGGGGCAAATGCCCCCCCTCAACTACATGGGGATCCGCCCATTGGGAGGTGATGAATCCGGTGAAACCCTAGGGCGTTGAGGGCGTGAAACCCGCACCCGAGATCACTCGACTGCTTCATCCACTCTCCAGTCATGGCCGCGGCTCTCAAAGTTCCTCTCTCAATTATCAGGCAGGCTTTAAGTCTCCTTCCCCTTCTTCTCAGTCCAACTTTCCTTCTTTCTCATGAGTTCATTGCCAACTTTCATTGCAAAATATAGGCATCGTTGTGTTCGTCGATCTTCTGCGACCGTAAGAACCATTTGCAGTCTGTCGACCTTTACCTTCCAAGCATCATCTTTGTACCTGCGGCCTCAGAGGTTTGGTCAAAATCCCAAATTTTATGCGGATATTGGATATTCTTTCTTGCTGTATTAAATGATTTATTATTGTGAACATCTTTAGATCTGGGAGCTCAAACAACGAGATGTAATATATTTCTTCTGAATTCCCAAAGTTTGAATTATTTGAATTCGTTTCCCAAAAGATATAAATTTTTGAAAAGAAACTCTTGTAATACATATGATATTTATTGATTTAGAGAAATCATATGATAAAATTCAAAGAGAAGCGCAATGGATAGTTCTAGAAAAGAAAGAGGTTAGTAATGCTTATATTCAAGCCATTATGGATATGTATGCAAGGCTATTACTTTTTGTTCAAATACAAGGTGGTTTGACCAAGTATTTTCTATTTCAATTGGATTGCATCAAGGATAAGCCTTAATCCCGTATCTTTTTTACTTTAGTTATGGATGTTCTTACTAGACATTTGCAAGAGGATGTAATTGTATCATGGTGTATTCTTTTTGCTAATGATATTTTTCTTGTCGATAAGACTAGTGAGGGAGTTGAAGATAAACTTGAACTATGGAGGCCAACCTTAGAGTCTAAAGGTTATTGATTGAGTTGATCTAAATCCGAATACATGGAGATAAACTTGAACTATTGATTGTAATTTTAGTAGTAATAGATCTAGTGGGGGAACTGTGACTTTGGGCGATTCAAGTCATTAATAAGAGTACATGTTTTATATATTTGGGGTCTATTGTTCAAAGTGATGGTGAAATAGATGGATATATTATTAGTAGAATTCAAGTTGGATGGTTGCAGGGGAGGAATGCATCGGGCCTGTTGTGTGGCAAAAATTTACCCCTCAAACTTAAGGGAAAATTCTATAAGATGGTGATATGCAATGCTTTATGGCGTAGAATGTTGGCCATTAAAAGAGAAGAAAATGTTAAGTTAAGTGTTGCAGAGATGAGGATGCTTAGGTGGATGAGTGACTTACACTTAGAGACAAGATACGAAACGAGCACATACGTTAAAAAGTTGAAGTAGTTCAAGTGGCCGATAAGATGAGAGAGAGTCCCCTTAGATGGTTTGGTCACATAAAACTGCAGCCTTCTGATGACTCAGTTATGTTAGTAGATGTATTAGATTTGACTTATGTTAAGAAAGGTTGAGGAAGACCTAAAAA